CCTCATCGAGAGCTCGGCGGCGGGTGTGGGTGTAAGTCCGGATTAGAGCTCGGCGCGTCTCGTTGTAAAATTTAAAATAAATGCCGGCCCGAGGCCAGCGCCCCCGCCCTCGATGGCCGACACACGCATCGCGGATGCGCCGCAGCCGGCGCCGCTCTCCTGGCAGAGCCTCGCGGAAAGCGGGCGGCTCGCCCGCGCGCTTGACAGGGAGAACGCAACCGCGCCACACCTCCGAAAGTTCCGCCTCACCCTCGAGCCCAAAGCGGAGCCGCACACGCTGCGGCTCAAAATGCCGTGCGACTGCGGGAGCTGCATCGTCAAGGCACAGATGAAGGCGGGCGCCTCCTGCCTGGTGCTGGTCTGGAACGAGGAGAAGCAGAAGTGCTCGCTCCGCCTCAAAGAGCTCGCGGACGCCGCGCCAAGTGAAGGGCTGCCCGAGCCCGTGGCCGGCGTTGCGGCTGGAGAGGCGGGCACTCAAGCGGCGGCAAGCACTGCCACTGCCGAGGCGGTGGGCGGTGCGGGCGGCGGGGATGGCGCGGGCGGCGCGGGCGGCGGCGAGGGCGGCGCCGGCGGCGCCGGCGGCGCGGGCGGTGGGGGGCGGCGACGGCGGCGAGGGCCAGGGCGGCGACAAGGAGGTCTGGCGGTGGCGGAAATGGCGGTGGCAGCATTGGCGAGGCCGCGCTGCCGGGAAGCACCGCAGCGTGTCCAATGGCGTTGGACAGCGACGACGAGCCGCCGGAGCCGGCGGCTGGTACGGAGCCTGCGGCCCCCGCGGTGGAGAGCGAGCAGAGCCCGCCCCTGATGGCGCCCGCGGCGGCGGCGGCAGGGGCAGAAGAGCCGGCGCCGCTGGAGGAGGGAGCGGCGGCGGCGGATGCGGCGGCAGTTGAGGCGCTTGTGGCGGAGGTAGCGGAGGGCTTGCGTCTGCATTTGTCCAGCAGCAGCACGGGCTACAAGGGCGTGTACAAACACCACGCCCGCTTCATGGCGCGGCACAGGGTGGGTGGAAGGCTGGTCTCCATCGGCTACTTCGACACGGCGGTGGAGGCGGCGGTGGCGTACGCGCGCGCGGTCGGCGAGGCGCCGGAAGCGGGCTCAGCGGTGGCGGCAGGAGGGCAGGCGTCGGCGGCACCGCTGGGTGAGGCGGCAGAAGGCGCAGCCGCTGCCGAGCCGTCGGTGGAGGAGGCGGTCACGGCGGCGGCGGCAGGGACAGAGCAGCCGGCGCCGCTGGAGGAGGGAGCGGCGGCGACGGCAGCGGCAGCGGAGGCGCCCCTGGCGGAGGAGGCGGAGGGTTTGCGTCTGCATTTGTCTAGCAGCAGCAGCACGGGCTACAAGGGCGTGTACAAGGGCGACTCGCGAAACGGCCGCTTCGAGGCGAAGCATAGGGTGGCCGGAAGGCAGGTCACAGTAGGCCGCTTCGACACGGCGGTGGAGGCGGCGGTGGCGTTCGCGCGAGCAGTCGGCGAGTACCAGCCTCCGGCTCCTCCGACGGTGGCGACGGAGGCGGAGGGCTTACGGCTGCACCTCTCGAGCAGCAACCCGAGTGGCTACAAGGGCGTGGTCAAGCACGCCTCCGGCCGCTTCGAGGCGCGGCACAAGGTGGACGGAAGGCAGGTCTACCTCGCCGTCCTTGACACCGCGGTGGAGGCGGCGGTGGCGTACGCGCGCGCGGTCGGCGAGGCGCCGGAAGCGGGCTCGGCGGTGGCGGCAGCAGCAGGGCAGGCGTCGGCGGCACCGCTGGGTGAGGCGGCAGAAGGCGCAGCCGCTGCCGAGCCGGTGGTGGAGGAGGAGGCGGTGGGAGCCGAGTCGGCAGGCCCCGTCCTTCGAGGCAAGCGAAGCTTGGCGCAGGCGGGCATGGACAACGGAGCTGCATCGTCGGAGTCAAAGAAGTCACGGGCTGGCGTGGAGTGTGGCGCTGGCGGCGACGGCGGCGACACGGGCGGCGACGGAGGCGGCCCTGGGGTAGGGCCGGGCGGGCGACGCCACTGCCTTGTGTGCCGCCGCGTCGGACGGCGCCACTGCTCCATTCATCGGGAGGCACCCGACCCGCTGGCTCGGCCGGCTACAGCCGCAGCGGTGACACCAGGATTGCGCCAAGAACGACAACAGGGATTGCGCGGGAGGCCGCCGGCAGCAGCACCACCGCCGCTGCGGGTTAACCAGCACACGGCGCAAGAGGCGGCGCCGCTCGAGCTGGCGTGCACTGGGTGCAAGGCTGCGCACCGGACGATTCACAACTGCCGGGTACGTTTGGAGAGATCCCGATGTGCCGCCTCGACACTCTTTGACATCGATTGGTTGCCACAGGTGGTGATGGGCCACACTGGCCCGAACTGGACCGAGGGCGCCAAGGAGGAGGGCGAGGGCGAGGGCGAGGGCGAGGGCGAGGGCGAGAACGAGTCGACCGACGCGCCCGCGCCGAAGCGACGCTCCAGCCGCGCCGCCGCCGTCGCACTCTCGGCAGCCTCCTCCTCTTCCTCCTCTGCCGCCACCGCCGCCACTGCACCCACCGCACCCACCGCACTGGCCGCGCCCGCCACCGCCGCCCGCACCGCCGCCTCCACCTCCACCGCCGCCGCCTCCGCCTCCACCGCCGCCCCTGCCGGCCCCTCCCCGCTCTCGAGCCGCCTGTTCACGACCACGCCGGACGGGCGCATCGTGCTGAGGGAGACGCCCCCTCCGCCCACGGGCGGCATGGCGGCCGTCGCCGCGGCGCTGGCGCAGATCAACCTGCAGGCCTACGGCGCCGCCTTTGACGCCGAGGGCTACGACGACATCGCGTTCTTGCGCGGACTGGACGCCGCTGAGCGGGCGGACGTGGCCAAGGAGACGGGGATGAAGCCCGGGCACGCGGGCAGGTTTGTCAAGTTCGGCTTCGAGCCGCCATGAGCGAGCCCGCCGCTAGGGGCTCAGGATCAGAGGGTCGGGTCCCGACAGGAGCTCTGTCCCAGTACAGGTTTCGAGTGCTTAGTGTGCACTGACCGGGATGCGCGAGCATATGTTGCGGAAGGTCTACTCTCCGACCACATGTCGTTGGTACAGTACTGGCAGTAGCAGGTGTGGTGGTACGGCATACCGAGCACACGCCATACCACAATACAGTAAAAACTCAGGTAGATGAGTTTTGCGGCGCACACGAGGGCGGAGGGAGCAATCTTACCTTATAGTCAGAGGCTGCGCAGGCCGTCTCGTTTGCATGTTTGCAGAAAAAACGGTGTTCCCACAACATGTGTCACACACGGCGGCTCCGGCCGCGGCACCTCTCGATGGGTTCCACAGACTTTCTACGCACACCCAGACACGCACAGGGTCTCACGTAGATCACATACCCTCTCACGAGTGGGGACGCTGCCGTGCGCGCTGCCAGTCCACCTCGCCGACCCCGAAGTGATATGGGCACTTACACTTCAGTGCAGTGGGCCGCATACAGCGGGACCACGCTTATCAACCCCGACACCCCACTGCGTCTAAGCACACCGGCTGTCCGCACCGCACACAAGGCAACGCCGGTAAAAACTATGGCAGCCAAAAATCGTGTGGGGCACTGAATACCTACGAGGGCTTCACCAACTGGCTTCCGTGTGCGTGACCGCCGGTGAGTATGGACGATGCGCGCGACCAGCGTGGGAGCTTGCGGGGGGGGACGGCGGGGGCGGTAGAGACTCATGAGCTCGTGTCATGTGACCGCCCCAGGAGGACTGTGAGTACGGGGTGTGGAGGGTGAGTTGACCAAGGGGTTGTGCGCCGGGCCCTCCTGCTCGGCTCCAGCCGGTAGACAAGTCTTGTCATCAACAGAGTAGATGGATCTGACCTCGGGGCCGATGTGACCAAGCGCTGGTAGCGTGGTTTAACCTCACACCCATGGTCTCACAGTGTGCCGGCAGTCGCCGAGCAGTGTCGCTCACACAAGCCGCAGCACAAGTGACTGAGGGCCCCAGAGCAGTGAGGGCGAGCCCATCGCTGTCACAGCTGTGGCAGCCGCACAGTAGGCTGTGTCAACTGTGCAGAGTGTGTGAGCAGCAGAGGAGCTGCTCTCCAGGCTTCTGTCGCAAAGAGCTGCATGCCACCGAAAGCGCTGTCGAGGTTCGCCGAGCGCGGCGAAATCCGGGGACGCCGTCACCGACGAGCGCGTTGGAGTATTCACTCCGGACAAAGACGGGCACACAGCGGACGGTGCGGGGCGTGTGCCCGTCATAGCGGCGAGGCACGGGACCGTCTGTGGCGAGGTGGGTCGCGTCCCCCGATTTCCGTCAACCCATCCCACACCTCTAGCTGTGCTGTCCGATCATACGGCTTTACTCTTGATCGCACTCGTCAAACCATCCCATCGCAGCACCACGCGGTCCGCACGTACCGCTCTCACATCCCCGCCACCGCTGAGAAGGCGCAGATTGACCGCCGGGCCGCGTAGTCGTCGTTAAGGAGCGGTTTCGGAGCCGTACGGAAGGGGTCCAAAACGGGCGAACATGCGGTTTTTCGACGACCACACGCAAAGAAGGAGGTATCTGCTTTTTGCTAAAACCGAGCCGCCTAGTGCAGCATCACTAGAGGCTTCACCACATTGCTAGGGGGGGAGTCCGATCCTCCCAGAGGCTTCACCACATGCTAGGGGGGGAAGGGGGGGGTCCCGACCCTCCCCACAGAGGCTTCACCACATGCTAGGGGTCCCGACCCTCCCCAGAGAGGCTTCACCACATGCTAGGGGTCCCGACCCTCCCCAGAGGCTTCACCACATGCTAGGGGTCCCGACCCTCCCCAGAGGCTTCACCACATGCTAGGGGGGGGTCACGACCCTCCCCAGAGGCTTCACCACATGCTAGAGGGGGGGGGGGGGGGGTCCCGACCCTCCCCAGAGAGGCTTCACCACATGCTAGGGGTCCCGACCCTCCCCAGAGGCTTCACCACATGCTAGGGGGGGGTCCCGACCCTCCCCAGAGGCTTCACCACATGCTTAGCGCCCCCCTTCCCCCCCCTGGAAGCGATGCCCGCCTGCTCTTATGGTGCTACTCACTCCTCTCCATCGCACCTCTGCTCACGAAATGGCGGTCCTCCACAAAGAACCATTTGCTCGTGAGAGCTGCGAAGATGCCTATGGCGAAGCGCGGCGTGTGCGTGTGCTTGTAGAGGCCGTTATACCCTCGCCGCTCAAGTGCGTCGCGCAACGCGGTGGTTGCGGCGGAGAGGCGGAAGTGCGGGATCTGAGTGAAGAAGAGATGGTGAACCACGTGCCCGTCGGTAATGTTGTGATGCAGGGCGTCAATGCCACAACCAAAGGTCCGGTCCATGGTTTGAAAGGCTCCGCGCACGTAGCCCCACGAGGAGGCGTCGTAAAGCGCAACGTCGGCGTGGTGGTGCTGAAGGTAGGTCACCGTGAAGAGCCACCAGCCGTACCAGAGCCACGGCATGCAGTATGCGCGCACGAGACAGCCACCGAGAGCGAGGTGCCAGGAGTACATGCTCGCCACAGTCAAGGCAGCGCTGAGGTAGCCGCGTGCGAGCGCTGTCGCCGAGGCATCTCCCCAGGCGCGGCCAAAGAGGAGCAAGTGCCCCCCATCGGGGATGCCCGCAAAGAGGTAGAAAGGCCACGTGTAGAGTGGTGCGATTGGCCGGAGGATGTAATGCCACGTCTGCCACAAGTATTTTCGCTGCAGCAGCACGCACAAGACGGCAACAGCAGTGGGGCCGGCAAAGCGGGTGCCCGCGAAGGGGACGGAGCACCTCGCGAGGACGATAGCCAGGGCTGTGGGAGCGATGGCAGCGGCGCCACTGGGGGGTGAGGCGTCGTCGTTGGCAGTAGCGATGACGGCGACAGCAGCCGCCGCGAGGGCGATGCAGACCAAGGAGGCGGTGCCATCCTTCGCTGTGGTGGTGGCGGCAGTCGTCAGGAGAGCGCTGGCAGCGGCGGCGAGCTGACTCCATGCACGGGCAGCAATGGAGCTCTTGAGAAGGAGGGGTACCCATGGATATGAGTAGTCCTTCGTCGCGTGATTGTGGTAAAGGTGGTGGCGATGGTGTGTTCGGCGCCACAACGGCGTACACAGGCAAACCGAGTGGCAAATCTCGCCGAATACCTCGTTGATTAACTCATGTTGCGAGAAGGTGGTGTGCCCGCAGTCATGCCCAACCACAAACAGGCACCACATGAAGAAGCCCGTCACTATCTGCAGTGGCAGGAGCGCAGCGGCCTGAACTGAGGACGGGAGCACGTGGAACCAGTCCGACTCGCATACCGCCACAATGATGGCGACGCCAACGGAGAAGCCAAGGGCGTCGCGCCCGAAATAGGCGAGCGAGTGTGCGGTCGATTTCTCAAAGGATTCCGTAGGAAGCCAGGAGCGGATGTCCGAGATGCTCGGGCAGGATTTTGACATGGTGCCGCAAGCTCGGACGCCTCAATCTCACGCAAAAAAAAAGCGGGGGGCGGGGACACACGATTCCAGAAATGGTTGTGTCCCCGCTCCTCGCTCGCCCGGGCGGAGGGCATGGCCGCGGAGGAGGCGAGTACACGCTGCCAGGCCTTCCGCAGACAGCCTCTTGGGCAGACTGAGGGTCGGCTTTGCGTGGCGTGGCCCGTACGCTGCGCTGCGCAAAGCTGCGTATGCGGAGGGAGCATCCTGTGCTTCCACCGGGAAGTGCGCACCTCCTGCAGCTGGTGGAAGGCCGTGCCGCCGCTCGCCTGCTCCGTGGACAGGGCGGGGAGGCGGTGCCGCAGCGCCGCAGCGTCCGCTGCACGCCGGTGCAGCACTCTGCTGCCTGGTGGGCAGCATGCTGGTGCTGTGCGCGACGTTTTCGAGGCTGCAGTGGCGCTGCACCGCAAGCCACGGCGAGTGGCACGCAGCATGCGCGGCGCCGCGCTTGGCCCGGACAGCGCCAGAGAGTGCCCTCGATGGGCCAGCCTGCGCGGCGCGAGCGCCGCACAAGCTGACACATCGTCTGCCATTCTCTGGTCGACGGCGGTCAATCTCACGATTGTCGATCAAAACCGGCGGGCTTTGTGACGCCGTTTACGCAATCGTTTTTGGCTTCGCTTTCTCTTTTGCTTGTTTTTATTTGTTTTTTCTTTTGCGAAGCGACGGAGGGGGGGGGCGGGCGGGCGCTAACTATGGGCAACTACATGTCGAAGGTTCGAGGACGACTACTCGCCGCCTGGGTCGTTCGGGGCGCGCGGCTCCGTCGAGGACCGGGCGCGCCCCTTACCCGGCGCGGCGTAGGTCCCACTCTGACGTATAGAGGGGAGGCACGGACAACGGCCCAATTCATCAATTCCACTCATCTTCTGGTGCCTAGCCCCGTGCAGCGGCGGTCCGGCAGGCTGCCCCCAAGGCCCCTGCGATACAACAAAAAAAGGTTTCATCCTTTGGGACCCGCTGTGTGCGGGGCGGGCCCCTGCACAGCTGGGATGCCCAGGGACGACGGCAAGAAACCCAAGGGTGAACCCAAAGGTCGCCCGAGACCTCGCAGAGACACACTGCCACCACACCATGGAGCCCCACGTAAATGATGAGCATGCAAAGTGTCATAGTGAACACACACACCCTCTCTCTCACACACATCCACCATTTCATGTGTCATTTTGCGCGTTCCGCGGCGCTGGCCAGGCGCCCAGCGCCCAAAGCCAGCGCTGCATGCGCCAATAAATCCGACGGTCCTCCAGCCGGAGGCCTGACGGTTCGCTTCAGCAACGGGCACATCCGACGGCTTTGCGGCTCCAACTGCGACAGGTCTGGCGCGCTTGGCCCCCCCCTCCCCGGTACGGGGTACTGCGACAGGTCTCCTCCATTCTCGCCGTTGTGTCCACCCCACTTGCCCATTCCTGCGGACGCATATTGCCTCAATAAGTATGATGATGTTAATGGATGCAAAGCGTGTGGTGGTGATGCCGACTACCACCTTGATGATCAGTCCATGACTCCAGGATCATGCGTTGCGTTGGCCCCCCCATCAGGGCCGCGTCACAATGGGTGACCCGCCGTTCCGCGGGCCCGGCCGAAGACCACTCCCCGTCGGCGGCCTAGGTCGACTGGCGGCTCTAGCGGATCGCTGCTGAGTAGTGAGTGGTGAGTAGTGAGTAGTGAGTAGTGAGTAGACGTGTTTGTATGTCCTGACAGTGTAAGAGGTGTGCATGTGCAGGGTGCGTGAGTCAGTGGGGTGATAACGCACCTTGTCTAGGTTGCGTGCACACGCGCTGAGTAGTGAGTAGACGTGCCTGTATGTCCTGACAGTGTAAGCGGTGTGCATGTGCAGGGTGCGTGTTGCGTGCACACGCGCTGAGTAGTGAGTAGACGTGCCTGTATGTCCTGACAGTGTAAGCGGTGTGCATGTGCAGGGTGCGTGAGTCAGTGGGGTGATAACGCACCTTGTCTAGGTTGCGTATTTCGGGGATTTCGATTTTGTTCACAGATCTTGCCTTGAGAGTTTATTGCATATTGGGGCCGCCGCAAGTCTCGCAACTTTGGATGTTAAAGGATAGCGGCACTCACAGATTGCAAGAGAAAACACACTTCCCTTCCGCTACCCTCAAACCAAAATACCTCCGATTCGCTTTTAGACAGATCAGTGCAGTATTTCCTGCGCTGGATGGGCCCGCTCACCGGCCGTGTGGCTCCAAGGTGCGCCTCATGATGCTCTCGGCGAGAGCGTGCACCCCGCGCCACTCGCGGTCCCACGCGGCCGCCTCGAGGGCCTTGTCGCCCTTCGCGGTTCCGACGGCCGCGGCGAGGGCCTCGCAGAGCGCCGCCTCCTCCTCCTCGCCGGCGGGGAGCGGGGCGCCGCTCTTCGCCTCCTTTGCGTAGCGGCGGAGGCGGTCCCTCGCCATCTTGAGCATCAGGACGCGGCTGTCGCCCTCGGCGAACTTGCAGCACTGGAGAAAGTCCATCGAGCCGAAGCCGGAGTCGCCCATCAGCGCGTACGAGCCGACCTCCTGCTTGCGGCGGCGGCAGAGGTGACGAATTCTTCCACAGGGAGAAACAAGAATTCGGCGGCCGAGGTGACGAGTGGCTGACTGAATGGATCACGCCCGTTGAGAGGAGGAATGAATGAGTCCTGCTCGCGGCGCCGGCAGAGGCCGATCCATGCGCAATCTCGGGGCGATCTCGGGGCGATCTCGGGGCGTATCTCGGGTGTGCTCCTGCTTGAGCCGCCAGCAGAGGTCGATCGACGCCTCGACTGCCTTCACCTATGTCGTGCACCGCTCCGCGTCCCTCCCCGCATCTCCTGCCATCCCTCGACGCCTCGACCGCCTCGGCCTTGGCCGTCGCGATGCGGTGGGCGAGGTCGTCCGGGGGGACGCCGCCTAGTACCATACCTCCAGAGGCTCGAATCCAGTGTGGGTTCGCTCCCGTGGCGGTAGGGGACGCCGCCATTGCGGAGCAGCGGCGTCAGCTCCTCCTCGCAAGACGCCACGTACTTCTCCAGCGCGCCGGCCGTCGCCTCCGCTTCCTCAAAGAGCGAGGCGAGCTGGGGGATCGAGGAGAGCGTGAGCGGCGCGCCTGTACCATACCTCCAGAGTCTCGAACCCAGTGTGGGTTTGGTCCCGTGGCGGTAGGGGAGACAGGAATGGCTGTACTCACGGGAGGGTGGTGAGATCGGCCGAGATCAGCCGAGATCAGCCGAGATCAGCCGAGATCAGCCAAGATCAGCCGAGATCAGCCGAGATCAGGCGAGATCAGGCGAGATCAGGCGAGATCAGGCGAGATCAGGCGAGATGAGGCGCGTACCGCGCGCCACTGCCGCCGCGGCGCCCGAGGTCACGCCGAGAGCGCC